CTTTATCTTTGCTTCTTGTCTTCTAGCGAAGATGTCTGATACAAAGCCTTCGAAAGGACTCTTATTTTTCTCATACAAGTAGCCCCTTAGCGAAAAAATTCTATAACCCAAGTTTCGGGCATAAAAAAATTCTTTGCTAAAATAGACGCATACGAATTTACTTGTTGGGAAGGTTAAAGCATTATGTCTATCCTTATAGGGTAAGAAGGCTTTCTCTATTGTAGAGAGGACACACTACAAAAGCCTCAAATAAAGCCAAAGAAGTTATCCAATTCCGCCTTTTCTAAATTATTATGCCAGATGTCCCGGCCTGGGAGCCCCGTTCGCCTAGCATCGGAAAAGTTTTCATTATAAATGGATATAAGGAGTTCACATCGTAATAGTCTAAATTTTAACCATAGGGCTTATAGACATCGGCATGTCCTCCATAATAACCACGCCGAATGAAGCGTTCTTGGTTTCGAGTTGGTATATGGATGGGCCAACTCTTTGGGTCGTAATAGTGCATACGAAAGATTGATAGAGCTAGCGATGACAACGTTATTGTATCAACGATGTCTATTTTGTACAGATTCCAATAAATCTCTTGTGCCTTCAGCATAACGCCACCTAAGAGACGAATATCTTGTTTCAGATAAGCCAACAATTGTTGACCTATCTCCGGAAGATACTCAATTCGTAATTTCTCATAGGGAATGGTGCCTTTAGAACCTAATTTCGGGCATAAATCCTGGGCCAAGTTATTTAGCGCAGCGGGAAGGAGAAGGTAGGAATCCCTTATACGGAACAATAATTTCTTTTTTTCATTTCCACGATAGACTTTTAACTCGTACATTTTATGCTTCCTCATCACCGTTTGGAAGGAGTACTTGCCGATCTGAGAAGTAAAAGCTCTCGTTACTATAATGCCATCGTATCATGAAAAGTTATGGAAATAGACCGTTCGAATCTCTTTTTCATCTGATACCACAGCCGCTAAATGCTCTATAAAGTCGAGCATCATACGTTCACTTCGTTTTTTGAAATCTGATATTGAGAAATCGTTATCTTCACTGAAATATGTTTCAATATAATATTCAGACTTGGAAGCAAGATCTTCACCCGGCTTAACCACTAAGAACCCCACTACGCAAGGAACATGAACATCGTCGTAGAGAGCAGCCTCTATATCGGCAACAATGAATGTGCTCCTTTTTATTTTCTTAATTGCTTTCAGTGCGGGTATATGATCGGGACAACGACTCTTCTTACCCATAGCTACCACTTCTACAGGTTCATCACTCATTGTCCCGCCATCCGTTAATTCATCACAAAGTTGCTTAAAAATTTCCTCTAGGCTAAAAGGGTGGACTTCACGGTGTTTAACCCTTTCGAAGAGATAGATTCGAACCCCTACTCAGTCTAGCTGCCCCTCTTCTTATTTTATTTCTCAGCCTTTTCACAGACTTGTTTCAAAATTTCATTATATACACGAAGCGGGGGTACTTCTGCGTTATCGGCCTTTACTAAAATTGCATTTCCTGCTGTAAAGTCGGCTCGTTCGTTATTTGTATGTATCAGACCATAATGGATAGTGAATTTAATAGAACGAAATCCGCTATTGTATGCATATTTCATTAACAGTATCATTCCCGCTAATGAGATAACTTCAATTTCGACACATTTAAGGTAAGGTTTTTTAAAGCGGAATTCTGCTATTCTTATTGACTCAAGGGGGCTATGATATTTTTCCTCAGCGATCAACTTGTAGAGAAATCCAGACTGGAACTATTGATGATTCTACGTTAGCTCTAAAGTAAGGAGACCACTTAAAAACCCTCATCGGATAAGAAAAGATATACCAGATAGAGCGCAACCAAGTCCATTTTTGAATGAGAAGGCNCACCAGATAGAGCGTAACCAAGTCCATTTTTTAATGAGAAGGCTAAATCATCACCTTATTTGAGGAAGTAGCCATGGAAGATTGGGTCTGTATGGCTTCCTGGGTTCGAAAGATCTTCCTTCAGCCTTGAAAGTATGCTACTGCTTTAGCGCGAATGAAACCATTTCTCAAAATAAAAAGGAATCCTCCTCTTTAGGTTGGTAACCTAGCCCAAAACCATGCTCATGGGAAAAAAGTATGGGGAAATTAAAAGAGACCTTGATGTCTTTGCCCTAAGCGCATGCCAGGAAACTCATTCCTCTCATGATTTCCATGACACGAATCTGACTCTAGGGATCGAAATAAAAGGTAAAATACTCCTTACTCGTAATTAAACCCACTAATCATCATATCTTTTTTACCATGTTCGATTTGCAGAATGGGGATATTCGAATCCGGTCCTTCTGACATATCTGCATCCCCATGTATAGTAAGAGTCTTTCCAACGAGGAACTTCACTATCGTATAGTTGACTCGACTCGAATGCCCTCTTAGCAATAGCATCCGTAACCGCAGCTATTGAGTCTGCTGTGGGAATAAGCGCCGCAGAATAGGCAGCTATTGACTCCCTCTTGACAGCTTGCTTATGTTAGAGNTATAGGCAGCTATTGACTCCCTCTTGACAACTTGCTTATGTTAGAGCTATTATGTCACTGTCCTTTTCTACTTTCTCTGCCGATACCGAAGAGGGTAACTAACCTCTTGACTAAGGGCTTGTTTTGTTTACAGAGTGAACAAAGGAAACTTGTCAACTAGACTTAGTGGAATGTCCAGGGGCAAACCGGTCGTTAAGATAGAGTCGGTGTCGGTAGCAGTTCTTGCTTAGCGGGATCAGGTCACCAATCGGTGACATAGTTTAGGAATGAATATCCGTAACTCCCATTCCAGTACTTAAATTGACAAAATGGAATAAGCAATCAAGACCTGGCTCAAGGCTAACCCCTCCACACTCAGGGTCAGGAACAGGAAAAGGAGAATGAGTAGGACAGGCTCGAGGTCAATTCTTTCTTTTAGGATAGATCCCACCCCCTTCTTTAGCGCTTGTTCATTCTATAAGACTTCCTTCTCGTTCTTGGTGAAGGAATCAGAGCTGCTATAGAATCAACATCTTACTTTTTAATGGCAAGCTCAGCAATGAGAAGTTTTCCTCTGCTGGAAAGCAGTCCTTCAGGGATATGGGAGCTTACTCCACTGTTGCTGGTTTAGTAAGCTAAGCATTTCCATCCTTTATGATTATGAAAAAGGAATGGATAGAGAGGAAGGCTCCAGGGTTTGTTTCTCTTGGTGTCAACATAGGAATGGGAGCAGTTTGAATGGATGCCTTTTTCCCTTGTTGAATCAGCCAAGTCAGTAGCCTTTCTTTTATGCGGGATTGGCCTGTTGATGCAAGGAATAAGGGCTGGCTTGATGCCAAGAAGAAGCTGGTGGTGGAATAACGGCAGCTAAATCATCTGCTGCACAGTAGTACGTATTAGGCAAATGGGATTTTTCT